TAGTCTATTCTCTACGTAGTCAAGGATATCTAGTCTTAGTGCTATATCTGGACATTTCTAAAGCCTCTGACATGGTTAGCCACCAACTTCTTATAGGTAAACTCTCATCTTATGTGGTTCAAAATCCTTTGCTAGCTTGGTTTGATTCCTTTCTCAACGATCGACATCAAATAGCTAAAATCAACTCTTCATTGTCTAACGCTGTCCCTGTTACAAGTGGTGTAATACAAGGTAGTGTCTTACGCCTTTTGCTCTTTTTAATGTTCATCAATGATATTTGTGAGAGTTGTTGTGTGAGTAAGCCCCTTCTATATGTAGATGATCTTAAAGTAGTATATTGATTTTCTCCACATGAGCTGAAAAATATGCAAAATCGCATCAGCATGGAGCTTAACAAGGTAGCACAGTGGTGCTTAAAATGTCAACTGGAGCTTAATACGGCTAAATGTTGATGGATATGCTTCGGCGATACATCACTCAACCTAGACATTACCATAAATGGTGAATTATTGTCTCGGTTACATACAGTAGTAGACTTAGGACTTAGGTACTCCTAAGACTCGTCGTTTACAGAACAGATATAGAAAAAGACCTCTAAGTCTCAACGTCTAATAGGTTACATAACTCGAAACCTTTATAACAATGTGTCACTTATTTAAATGAACAAAGTTTGTGTTCGACCTCTCCTAGAATATTGGACGATTATTCATAGCAGTGCGCGCATAAAGGATAAATTAAAACTGGGATCAGTACAGAGACGATTCACACTTCGCATTCTTGGAGCTGATTGTACCTTAACTTATAATTCTTGACGTAATAAACTTGGGCTCGACCCTTTAGGGAAGAGGAGACTCAAACTAAATCTTATCTTTTTCTTCAAACTACTTCATAAACTATCGTTTACATCCAGCAACGTGATTCAATATGCAGAGACTTCTCATTATGCCATCTGTAATTCCTTGTCACTAGTGAAACAAACTCATTCTAAATCATCTCTTTATATGAATTATTTTACATGTATATTTTCTAGACTCTGGAATAACCGATCACGATCTATCTGTAGGATAAAATCACTCCCATTATTTGTTCACTACATCGATGCATACTGCTCCTCTGAAAATGCATTGAATGTTGTAGCATCTGTAAGTGTATCTCATTCCACAAGTGATAATATGGGAACTTTAAATGTTTAGCCATTTTATTAGTGCATTTCCTAAGTAAAACCACGTACTTGCTGTCACTTTATGCTGTAATACATGTACTACCTCAACAATTACTGAACTAGTATACTTAAAACCTTCTTCTATCACATGTTTGTTTTGTACATCTAATGTTACTATTTATATCAGATTGATCATGCCTGTAAACTGGAATGAATTCTGTAATTATTATTTTCAGATTATATATAATATCACTAACGTCAATCGTGATTGCCCATTAGGAGACCGTTATATATGAGCTTTACATTATTTATTTTAACAATTTGAAAATTTTCTCTTGGCTACTCGGAAATATAGAAAGGTGCATAGACTTTTGTATTTACACAATGTTTCCTTTCATGATAATCTTCTTTTTCTTCCAGTTAACATTGTATATTCTTTGCTATACATGTCATTTCACTTCTGTTTTCAAATGAATGACATTATATTTCATTATATGCTGGTAAACCTTAAAAGTGACCGAGATTAAGTTTCGTTTTTAACCTTTCATTCGTAAAAGTAGAAATGTTGTTTCACAACTCTCAGCGTGTTTTAGATGTTACTCATTCGGATTGCTTTATTATCGTCATATGATCGGTTGGATTAATAAACGTACGCTCACTAATGAATACTTTCTCGGATCTATTCACTGAGTTCTTGTGAGAAGCTAATAGTGATGGAATTCCTTCATATCTGATGTGAAGTAGTTAACAAGCATGAAAATGGTAGATATCGCGAATCGATTGAAATTAAAAATGACAGTTCACTGGTTTACACGTTAAACGTACCCAGCTAGATCTGAAGGCACTTCCCCTTTTCAGTCTTTAATGCGCATTACTGGGAATTCTTATACCAGGATAAAAGTGTTGTCCAGTGCTTCTTAGTTTCCAGTAGTTGTCTAACTTAGATCAGACAGAGGTACACATGCTGAAATTTAAATATTTTCACTGCTTTCTATGAAATTATAGTTTTAGCGTAAGAAAATTGATGATTAATTCTGTGAAGTGTTGTTTTGTGCTTATTAAATTTCTATTCTTCGTCAGTAGGTACCAGTCTGTTCAGAAATGGGACTTGATTACAAATTATCGGAGTTGAGCGAAATTTACTAACGAATGATGTTACATATGACTTCGGCGACATCCTTTAACAAACGAGTTTTAGGTGAGTAGTCTCAGTGAATTCCTCAAGTAGTTATGACAGGACCTGAGTTTGATTAAAAAACACATAGAATTCTGAATGTAGCCAATATATTATGTTTTCATAATGTATCATAACATGATCTCAATCCTAGCAGCTTATACACCTGTTTCTAAACGAGTTCCTTGGCCTCAGGAGATCCGATTAAGGATAAATGCAGCCTACAGGCTCAAATTTCCCTCATATCTGCAGAAAACATAGTATTATGCGTCTAGAAATTAATATGAAAAACAAAAACTTTGTGGAAGCAAAGGTGGATAGTGGTTAGCAGTGAAATACAGGATGCGCGTTTGTTCCAATTCGGGATTCATCAGCTGGATTTACCTGCATATCAGAGTTGATGTTCACTGTGGGACGCGAACTTATTACCGTTCGCTTCAAACATGCAGTCCTAAATAACAATGAGAAGATACAAGTAAAACAACACCTAGTGAATTCAAATATTCTTTGTATATGCAGTTATGTAGAGGTTGTCTGAAGCATCTTTTTGTAACAAAACGATATCTTAAACAAGCAATATAATACAGATATTACCATTTTCATTCATATAAAACACACCTATGTATGTATTCATTTCCAACAAATGTTTTCAATTACTCTTCATATAAATATGTAATGATGACTATCATAGATCGATTTCAACCTTTAATGGCGGCCTACTTGAACATGTGAGCTATTTATTCTTGTCATCTATATATTTCAACGAGTTATATAATTTTATACATTCCTGAAAAATGTACAACATTTCGTTGTATAAATTACAAAAAGGCCCAATCAGAGATATTGTGATTGTTGTCAATATACAACGTAAAGAATATACATTATTTACACGTCAATTGACTGGACTGTTAACTTTTAACTGACGATCATTCATTATTTATCGTCAAGATTAACCAAGCAGTAAGACAAGGAAACTTGTTGAAATACTTTGTGTTATGTCCATGTACTGTCTATCCACTTTTGGTGCTGAGGATATTTATCTAATCCAGATCAAGACCTTGGCGCGATAGGCTGACCGACCTAACCTTGAGGCTAGTAAGCGTGAGTTCGAAATGGGGTAGAGAGAAGACAACTATTCCATCACCTGATTGGCTGAAAAGCACGCGAATGAGAGATGAGACAACTGGAACACTACTCGATCTATTCCAGATATCCTGATTTCAGTTCAGTGTAAAAAGGTACATGAATAAATAAGTGAATAACGCGACCACAACGTACAATAATTAAGAAAAATACAATTATGTCCAAAGCCGGGAATTAGCGTAGAAAATAGGGTGCAAATATTATGTTTAAATTACAGCAGCTTCGGAACTGAAAATAGTATGGCAATGGATCACACATCGAACGAAAGCTTATGTTCTGTAGAATAGATTAGGGACAAGGTTAGCATGAAATGAAATAATGTCCCGAAAAATAGCTTTCATAGTTTGTCAGGGCTTCTTGTTTTCCTGTTCACATCACATTGTATTTCAAAAATATAATATTGAATAAAGTCACTACTACTAATGATAATAAAGCCTCATTGAAACCCATAGAATACATAATACCTACCCCCTAATTACAGTTTAAAAATCTTATACAATGAGTTTCTCACCATTGATTACATAATCTTTAAGATGAAAACTAATTCAAAACTTCTATAACTTTCACTTGGTATTGTTTGGCTTGTATCTTCCCATTGAGATTTAAGACTGTAATTGATCTGTCTGTTAATGGTATATGTGCATACTGTGCATATGCCTCGATATTACCTTAATTCACAAGCTATTTGTAAGCAATGATGGATAGTGGTTAGCAGTGGAATCCAGGACGCGCGTTTCGTCCTATTTGGGACTAGTCAGCTGGACGTACCTGTATCTCATACTTGATGTTCACTCTATGACTCGAACCCAGTACCATTCGCTTCAAACGTCATCGCGTTATCCATTCAGCTACTGAGTCCTGATAGCCACTTGCTTGTGCAGTGTGGTGAATTTCAATACATTTGGTATTGTTTGGCTTGTATCTTCCCATTGAGGTTTTTAAGACTGCAATTGATCTGTCTGTTACTGGTATATGTGTATACTGTGTGTATGCTTTAATCTTTATTTACAATCATTCATTCAATAATAAATAAATAGATATTTATGAATATTATTTTTTATATTGAAAAAAACACCGAGACAAACTTATGAAAATAAGACAATAAACCTTTTTTTGTTCATAAAATTACATGGTTATAACACATTTTGTTGTCTTTTACATAAATCATTTGTCATTACATAACAATAATAATAATAATAATAATAATAATAATAATAATAATAATATTATTATTATTATTATTATTATTATTATTATTATTGAAAATACGGCGTAACTATAGTTTATGAACGAACCAATCAGATACAAGATAATAGACCTTGAATTTTAGCGCATAATTCATCCATCCATCTATCCATTTGACTAAATAACATTTTACCATTATCAATAATATGAATTCATAATGAAAATAATAAATCAAATTTATAATCTTAATTATTAATTATAAATCATGATTGTAATTCTTCATATAATTGATCTTATTCATTATTAGATAGATCTTTACAAAATCACTTTAATATCATTCAATGATCGTTTATCAATGATAATCTCATTAAGAATACCAATTGAATGTAAATATATGTATATTTGTGTGTGTGTGTGTGTGTGTAATCAATAGATGATCAATCAAATCTATTCAATATTTAATTGCTCATTAATATTGATTTTTTCTTGATTATTATCATTTGATTTCATTGATAATAAAGAATTATTAGGGATTATCATTTTATTAATTGTATTGATTATTTCATTTGTATTATTATTATTACTATCATTATTATTATTATGTAAATGGTTTAATAATATATTACATAATAGATGGTTACATTTACATAAACATTGTTCTTGATGAATTACATCATTTTGATAATGATCATGATGATGGTGATGATGATGTAATGTATTATTATTACCATTGTTATTATTATTATTATTATTATTAGTAGTAGTAGTAGTAGTATGTTTTATTCTTATATAACATCTTATAAACATTTCAACTAATTCACCTAATGATATAATAGATAAACCAATCCATATAGAAAATAAACCACCAGTTTGTGATAATAAATTTGTCAATGAGATCACTTCTTTTTCTTCAACTTTACGTACATCAAAATTAGGTCGATTAATTAATATTGCTAATAATTTACGTTCTAATACATTTAATTTATCTAATATATTAATAGCATCTAATTCATTACCTAAATCTAATAATTCAATAGCTTTATGATATAATATAAATTCTGTATTATTAAATAAACCTAATTTTTTATTATATGATGAATTTAACCATGTTAATTGCCAACTTTTAGTTGGCCATGTTGATATTGATTGTTCAGTTTCATAAGAATAAAATGAACATGGTATTTTACAATTAGGTAATTCACCATGTAAATAATTTTCTATAATTGTACGTTTACACATCATTCTTGTTATAAATTTATTTAATTCATGAATACATATATTACTTATATTATTATGATTATTAGTAGTAGTATTATGATTATTGATTTTCAATAAATCATTACGATTACAATTTGATATATTGATAAATTGTAATAAATTAGTACATGGTTTATAATTAGTATCTTCATTATATGGATATTCAATGGAATAACAATTACAATAATGTATAATATCATTTTGTATAGTTAATTCACGACATGCATATTCTGAATAATTATATAACATATCATATAAATTTAATTGTATTGGATGATTGATAGAACATCTACCATAGGGTGGCATTTTTTGTATATTCTCTATAATAGATAAACGTAATTCAGTTAATGTACCAGGTTTTAAATTAATACTTTTATCATTAATATTTGGTAATGTATCAGCACCATGTATTGTAATTAATGCACCAGATAATTGAGATTTTACTTCACCATGAAAACAATCAATACATTGTGCACGATTTAACATTTCATCTAAATAAATATACATTTCTATATTTGTTGTATCTGAACGTAAATAACTAAATGGTTCAAATGTAGCACAATTTAAATATTGTGCATGAATAAATTTACGCCATATACCATTACGTTCACATGGTGCGGCTACTGGTTTACTTCCATTTAAATAGGTTATCTATAAAGAAAAATAAGTAGATCATTGAAAAATGTAATATAATTTATGTATATAGTGAAAATTCGCATTATGGCATTTGTTAAATAAAGAAGGAATGAATCATCATGGCTCTACACTAATATATATAAGTCACTCAGTAAACCCTAACTCAATATTCATGTGGTAAAATAGATGGAATATTTGACCTTATTGTTGAGGTGATCCAGAAAACTCTCAAACGATAAGAAAAGCTCAGGAAACACTAAGAGGCATTTTATCCAATCAGCGTTAAGTAGAAGTTTAGCCAGAAATATTAAGAAAGTGTCAAGTCACATTTCGAGTTTCTGATTGGCTGATTACTACACTTCTACTATGATTATTAGCATTTCAAAATTTTCGGAAAACCCAAGGACATCTAAAATACTATAAATACCCCAATATTTTCTGTACTAAAACGAACCTTTGGAGTAAAGTGCTTCTCGCATATTTTCACATTTTCTCTCGTGTTCAGGTCGCTGTGTAGTTCTAGCTTGGGGGTTACAAGAATAACTTAGGAACCGAATATAGCGTTCAATTGGCAAGACTTACCACTTACAATAACATAAATAGGAAATTACATCTATATGATTAAGTCATAAGTCAAGAAAAACTATCTTATAGGTTAATAGGTAATTAACACTAATTTTAGGTTATATAAAACATCTAACAACGGTTAATTAGCCAATTGGAAGATTATAATACAAGGATATTTATTATAAATAAAATTACAGTAATTCACGTACTTATTAATTATATAATAAAAATTTTAATCATAATCTCCACTACAAATTAACACAATTAGACTGTAGTCATGATCATAAAATCTATGATGCATGTGAATTCATTTGGTGTTGTTTACTTGAATCGTCCGATTGATGTGTTAAGACTGCAATTGATCAGTCTCTTGTTGGTATGTGTGCATACTCTAAGATGCAGGTACATCTAACCGATGAGTTCCGAGTGGGACGAAATGCGCATCTTGGATCCCACTGATAACCACTATCCATCTTTGCGTATGGTGCATATGGATTAAGATTAAAGGTTATAAAGATAAATTCAATTTATTATTTATATTTACAAAGTTAATTTTATAATCTTTTTTAGGTAACTAAAGTTTATTATTCAGTTAGATCTCACTTAATGAGAATTGGTTGAAATGTAACCAGTTTTAAACAAGTTTTATGCTGCATCTGACACTTTGTTGATGTGGTTTTAACATATGACACCCCTGACGAATTGCGGCATAAATTCTCTTCACAGTTGAAATCCCGAATGAATCTTAGCTAGACTACCATGAAAACCTAGAAGCGTTGGATAAGCGTTTCATCCTAGTATGAGGCTCCTGAACAGTAAGCACACCCTAACTCCTCACTCAGGAGTCGAACCCAAGACCTCTGGTCGCGCATTCGGATGCTCAACCTTTAGACCACTGAGTTGTCACTCAACGGTATTAATGTCTAGGTTCACTCAATTTACGATACTGCACAACCTTCATCCATTGGTTACGCTGGATAATTATCTTACACTTGACACGGATTAAGTTTCACCAGTCATGCTTTCCTACTCGAACTGTTTCACAAAGTCCCTTGATCACTTATCTAGTAGCTACATTCACACGTTCGTGTGAAATTTCATGTCTGTTTTACAGTAAAGATTTTAAATAATTGGATTACTTTGATCATTACGATATTCTCAGACGCGTCATACTGCATGGAATTGTTACTGTTATTAGTTTCATTTACGTGGCCCTAGAATATCTGGCTCTGATTGGATCGTTTCTGATTGCTATCGAAATATACACCCCAGCTATCCTCGTACACAACTATCAACTTAACTCACATTAGTGAATAACCGAGTCAAATAAGTCAAATACGTGAATGTATTTAAAATACCTATATTATATACAACCAATGATCGGAAAGCGTAGGAAAACAAAACAAAGCGCGATGAAGAAAGTAAGTCAACCAACTCGATTTAACCAAGCGTGAATCGATACTTATAGTCAGATAAAAATATGTTACAGACCTGTGACGAGTAAGATAAGAAATACACACACACACGCTTATACAAAAAGTCAAGGTGGTTAAGCTAATAATTAATAAGATCAAAATTTGACTCAAGAAGAATGAATAAATTAGCCTGTTTGTTAGCTAGAATAAGTTGTGTGCGCTCGATATAGGGCCAGCCACTACATCTTCTCCACTAGCGCATCTATCATGTTTACTAGAAATAGTGTTAGATTTTCTACTGTATTGACTATAGTGGATAAAATGTTGTCGTTTGAATTATTAGGTATAGAGTTTCACTGCTAACATGTACGTCTAGCTGACGAGTCCCAAATAATTAAAAACCCGTATCTTGAACAACGCTGTTAAACCCAATTCAAAAACATATTATTATATGTCATAATGATGTATGTAAGGAACAAAGAATAATGAAATTTCAATCCAGAATTTCAATAGTAGGAAATGAATACTTCCATATACTCTTGAAAGTCTAAGAATATTCCATATAGTTAATTAGTTCATTTAAGTTCGTCTTTATTCAGTTCTTACATAAACCAGACTAGTTTAATAGTTCGTATCACATAAACTTACACGGACTCATTTTATCCTACAATGTTTCTTAGTAGTGGTTTTTTAAAGGATGTCCCTTTTTTTCCCCCTTTAGATTGAGTATACCATCTTTGTTTTCTTGCGAAACCATTGTTGATATGTGCCTTCTATTATTGTTATCATTAAGATTTCATTGCTGATTATTATTATTATATAATCAGTTAATGTTACAATAAACCTTTTTACTTCATAATTGAATAAGTAATTCTTTTGAATATTTTAGTTAGTTTAAATACTTTCTTCTTTGAAGTACTTCATTAAATATTCATTGTGATTCTTAATTATTTATTATCAAATAATTGATCATCATCATTTTAGGGATTGTGGAGATTGTTAAGTTTTTGATTGAAATCATGAGTCAATTGAAGCAAGACCACCATGGAAAACCTGGAAGTACTGGACGGCTGTTTCGTTCTAGTGGATGCGCACTGTTGAGGAGTCCCATACTAGGAGGAAACGGTCGTCCAGTGCTTCCAGGTTTTCCATGGTGGTCTAGCTTCAATTGATTCATGATTTCAATCAAAAATTGATCATCGGTTGTTCGAATCCGCTACGAGATTTATATATTGTATGGTGCGGTTTTTGTTTTTACAAAAATGACAGTCATCTAATCTAATGGCTCTCTTCTTCATCTGTATAAAAGCTAACAATCTATACCATATAATTGTATATGGATAACAAAAATCAGAGTAAACTTTTAAAATATTCAATAGATTGAAAGGAAAAATAAGTGTATGTTTTTTAAATTCAACGTGTCAAGAGGTACTGGGCCTAAAGAAGCACCATTATAAGGAATGGATCTCTATAGAAACACTGGAGAAGATCAAAGAAAGGAAGAACAAGAAGTCAGCAATTAACAACAGCCGAACACGAGCACAGAAAGTCCAAGCACAAGCTGAATACATAGAAGCAAACAAGCAAGTGAAGAAGAGCATTAGAGCCGACAGGAAGAAATACGTGGAAGAACTAGCAACGACGGCAGAAAAAACTGCTAGAGAAGGAAATATGAAACATATGGAGAAATTCGAACACTTCACTTCTATCTGAAGTTTGTACTGATGATGTCGTTCAGAGGAACGATGAAAGCTCCACGACCAAACCATCTAGCTCAGAGAACAAAACTCCATCAAAAAAATATGAAACAGCTTCACGATACAACGAAGAAACTATCAGGGAAATATAGTAATCCAGAAATAACGGTCAAAGACAAAGAAGACAGGCCAATCACTGAAATTCAACAACAGCGGAACAGATGGGTAGAGTGCTTCGAGGAACTCCTGAATAGGCCGGCTCCAACGAATCCACCGGATATCGAAGCAGCACACATAGATCTTCCTATAGATGCCAATCCACCAACGACGGAAGAAATCAGAATGGCCATCAGACAAATCATGAGCGGGGAAGCAGCAGGACCCGACAACATACCACTTGAAACACTGAAGTCAGATATCGAAGTAACTACAAGCATGCTTCACCTACTATTCAAAAAGATTTGGGAGGAGGAACAAGTGCCGATGGACTGGAAAGAAGGACACCTCGTCAAGATTCCAAAGAAAGGAGATCTGAGCATTGCACTGCAGTCAGTACTAGGAAAAGTCTTTAACTGAGTGTTGCTGAACCGGATGAAGGATGCAGTAGACGCCCAACTTCGAGATCAGCAGGCTGGATTCTGTAAAGGCCGGTCGTGCACAGACCAAATTGCGAAACTAAGGATCATCATCGGACAATCAATTGAGTAGAACTCAACACTGTACATCAACTTCATTGATTACGAAAAGGACGTTATGGGGAGTTCTTCGACACTACGGAGTTCCTGAGAAGATTGTCAATAATATCCGGAATCCATACGTCGGACTACAGTGTAAAGTAGTGCATGGAGGACAGCTGACAGATGCATTCCAAGTAAGGACCGGAGTCAGACAAGGCTATCTACTCCCCCCTTTCTCTTTCTTCGGGTGATCGACTAGATTATGAAGACCTCGACCTCTGAGGGAAAACATGGAATACAATGGACAGCTCAGAATCGATTAGACGATTTGGACTTCGCAGACGACCTAGCCCTCCTATCCTATACACACGAACAAGTGCATATAAAGAAAACTAGTATAGCAGCAGTCTCTGCATCAGTAGGCCTCAGCATACACAAAGGGAAAACCAAGGTCCTCAAATTCAAAACAGAGAACAGCAATCCAATCACTCTTGATGGCGAAACTCCGGAAGATGTAGAATTCTTCACATACCTGGAAAGCATCATCAATGAACAAGGAGGATCAGATGCAGACGTAAAGGCGAGGATTGACAAAGCAAGAGTCGCATTCCTACAATTGAAGAACATATGGAACCCAAAACAACTGTCAACCAATATCA